AGAGTGTCACCACATATTTGGGGGACAAAAAATGAAATTAGGTAATTTTAGAAAGCAGTCAAACCCAGTTTAGTATGTAGCGTCTGTCCCAGGGTTCCTGCCTGAGTGTTGCCCTGACCGCCATTCCAGATTCTGAAAGTGACCAGGACCCTGCAGTTTGGGCCCCGAGGTCTTTCCTGAAGGGCTCCATGGCTGCTGTGTCACTGTCAGGGTCTGGCCCTGGGACCCAGCCCAGCTGTGGGCAGTGGCTTCTTGATTACGGTGTGTCCTGTGGTGCCCGCTGGGTGGGAAGACGTGTACTTTCAAGTTCAAAAGCATGTCCCCGCAGGATTTCTGCAGACGCGGCTCCCTTCACCACCCAGAGTAGCTCCTCTGCGGTCTCTCTGCCCTGACGGCTCACTGTTTCGTGTGATGAGAATTTGGGGGCAGGCGGGAAGGACTGCTCCACCACACAGGTAGTGTAGCAGACGTGCAGGTACAGCAGCCTCTGACCGCTCTCCTCTAGGCGAGGTGGGGTTCCACGTAGGGGAGCTCCACAGGCTGGGTCCCTGTGTTCCAGTGCGCATGTGAAAGGGATGAGTACATTGCAGAGTTCACGCGCAGGCACTTGCGAGTGGAGGGATCTTCTCCAGAAACTCAGTGAAGTTCCTTCCACGCCTCCGAGCCTGGGGTGCACACGGACAGCTGCCTGCAGCGCCTGGCATCGCCACTCAGAGAGGTCATTTGAGAAATGGGACAGTCAGCAAGCCCATCTGACTAGGCCCGCCGGAGACCAAAGCCTGTCCCCACAGGAGAGCTCAGTGTTGGGGCGCCACTTCCAGAAGCCCAAGGCCCCCGCCCCCCACCTGAGCTTACACGGAGCTGCTCCTGCAGGGACGGGGCCTTCTAGGGTGGCAGCCACTGTCTCTGGGAGCTGTTTTCTCTCCACGCGCTGAAGGGCCTTAGAAGCCATGGGGCTTAGGGGCTGCACTCACTATTCCAGGTTTGGGAACCCAGGCTTCCCTCGTCCATGCCGTTTTTCACTTCCTAACAACTCACGAGGAGGCAGGGGTCCTCCTGACACACCTTATCAGCCCCCATGCTTGGCCCAGCCCACGGAGCATCTCCACGTGCCCTCACTGTGTCCTTGTGGCAGAGACTTCTGGAAATGTCTCATGTCTTCCCATCTTCAGAAGGGCGGCTGTACCCTGAGTCACTTAAGGGACCGTTTTTTTGAAGCTGACCTGGAGCTACGCAGCAGGAGACAGGAGGCTCAGGAGCTTTCTAGCACTCACTCTTCCTGTGCACGGCATAGCACAGCTGCGGAAAGGCGCTGCCGAGTGACCCTTGCCCCCCGGGCCCTCTCACTCAGAGGATGCACTTGCCCCTTCTCCTGCCACCAGCCCTTGGCGAGAGCAGAGGTAGGATGGAATCTCCCCGTAGGAAGGGTCCCCTTCAGTGATGAGAGGAGTGAATGGTGGGGGCAGAAGGTGGGCGGACCAACACAATCGAGCCCAGCAACAGAGACCAGCATTTCAGGTCACGCTAGCAGGGCAGCCCCAGTGCCAGGTGCACTCCATACCTCTGGGCTCACATGCAAATGGTCAGGTGGCTGCTGTGTTGCAGTGCTGACCTGACAGGAGCAGCAGGGGACAGGTGAGGTGGCCTTTAGAAGGACAGGTGGCCACAATCTTGTTCACGAGCTGGCCATCTGCCCTTATCTTAGATCATAGCTGGTGTGAGGTTGGAGGTCAGACTTGTGACTAAGAAAGACTGGGCAGGAGCTAGCAGATAGCATGGTGGTTAAGGCGCTGGACTTCCATATGGCTGGTCACCGTTCAAGTCCTGGACCTGATGGCTTGAAATTCACACTGGGCATGTGTGCATGCATGCCCAGAATCCCAGGAGGAACATGGAGGAGAAGGCATTGCTACGTGGCCATCCCACAGGGGCTCGTTTCTCACTTTTCTTCTGTCTGTCTGTCTCTGGCAAGTGCAAGTGTCCTATGACAAAAACCTAAAAAGAAAAAAGAAAAAGGAGTATTCCTGGCAGACAGGTGGTATTCCAAGCGTGTAAAAAATTAATTAAGCTCTTTGCCCTGTCCTGTGGTTGGTCTTCACTGTCTTGGTCGCTGGATAGCTGCTACCTGGCATCCAGCTTGGCTCCGGAGTGAGTGAGTGGTCAGGGTCCAAAGCTGAGAGTTTTCCCAGCTAGGGAGCAGCCACTGTCAGCCTCCTCTCTACATCCCCTCGGGCTCGTTGTAACAGTGTTTGGAAGGCGAAGCCCATGGTGTGTTTCAGGGACTGGGTGAGGACTGGCTGCGGGCTGCAGAGCCTGCGCTGGTATTTATAGCTTCGTCCGTACTCCCCCCTCTGCCCACGCAGAATACCCACGTTTCCTTTGAGAGATCTGTTGTGGACTGGAGGTGCTGCCGGCTGTGAAATTTAATAAAGTGCATGTGTTTCGCTAGAAAATTGTTTCTTGGACAAAGAAGAACAATCATTGATCTCTTAATCCTGCCTCTTAACAGTGGCCAAGGACCCGATCAGCCAATTTCTCGGTCCCTCGATGCTACAGAGCGTAAGCAGCAGTGCAGTTTGTCGTGTTGAGCAGGACCCTGCCCTGGTGGATCGGTGCTTCGTTTTCCTGGGAGGAGGACCTTGCTCTAGTGCAACAGACTGTGTCTCAGCACGGCTGTTCTGTTTGCTTCCAAGAAACCACTTTAGAGTAAGAGATTCCGGGTTCCCTTCCCCACCCCCACGTCCTAGCCAGGGCAGCACACAGCCTGGTAAGTCCACCCCAGGTGACTGCTGGCCAGAAGCCCACGCCTGCACTGAGCTCATCAGCTCCCTGCTCGCCGCCCGCAGCCTGGCCGTCCCCCTCCCTCTTCTCCCCGCCCGCTCTGCTGGCCTATTGATCACGGAGGCGCGCGCTGGGAATGCGGGCTCTGGGCTGTGGCGCATTGCAGCACTGCCTCCCCGCAGGCTTTTCTAGGCTCAGGAGAATGGGATCACAGGGCGCACTGATTCGTGTACCGATGCTCAGGGCTGTCCAGGGCAGCCTGGCACCCCCTGGTGCAGTCTTGTCTTGGTACTTACTACAGTTGGCTGCAGGGAGCCAGTCCCTCCAGACCGGGGAAGGGGATAAAGATGCCTCTTTTAATTGCAAGTGGCATTCTGGTCATCTCCCCAGTCCTGAGGTATCTTCGAGGAGGGCTCTGAGCACATGAGACAGTCTGATGAGGCAGCCAGCAGTGCCGCGCGCCCATGGGACAGTGGGGCAACCCTTGGTCCCCGCCGCCAAGCTGCTGTGTTGCCGAGGAGACGGATCCCAGCCCACTCCTCCGCGTGTGTCCACACTCCACACCCCGCCCTTTTGCTTTCCTCCAACCCGCCCCAGCCTTGTCACAGACTCACAGGAAGAGAAGTCCAGATGCCCGTGGCCTACCACTTTGTTTCAGTAAGTTAGTGGCTTCCCCCAAGGAGTTAGACTTTGACTGGACACCTCTCGGCATATTGCCAAAAGGGCACTCCTCTTGAACATTCCTAACGTTCCGAAGGAGCTGCTTGCCGCTGCGGTTTTCCCTGGTGGTTTCAAGACGTCCCCTGAGTGGACACTAGTCCTCGTCAGTCAGCTCCTGGGACGTGGTCACTGGTGGCAGGCTGAGCAGGCTCCGCACCCCACGGCCTCTTCTTGAGCCCGCGGCTTGTCTGCCCTCCGCCCGGTTTGTGCTTGAAACATAGATTGTCCTCCTAGATGGCTCGTGGCGAGGGCGTGGGCACCCGTGTGCCCTGAGACTCCCCAGGGGGACAGGCAGGCAGGGAGGGTCTGGTTACGTGGCTTCAGGGACCTGCTGGAGCTCCCGTGGCACCCGCCCGCCTGGGAAAGTTGGGGATGGATGCACTCAGGTCAGAGTGGAGCAGAGTGGCCTCTCGCAGGCAGGAGGCCTCCGCAGGCCCGTGGGAGGCCTGGTAATGGACAGCCCAGCACTCCACCGAACCCAGAAATCCTGTCCACAGGGGCGTTCTTGACTCTTTACGCAGCTTTTGCAGATCATAAACTGCATTTGCATAGTCACAGGGCCTCGGGAGACGTCAGCAGTGTTTAATCCGAAATGAGTTCTGCGTGTGGGAGGGGCTGGGGTCTGTAAGTATCAGTTCCTTTCCTGGCTCGACTGGGATGCAGGTGTTCTCAGTGTTTTTCTTAACACTAATGATCATTGAGTATTTATGCACACATGTAATGGTGGGGCTCATGTCGGGATGTATGGGACGGATCTGTGTAAAATAAAGATCGTCTGATGGAAAAGTGTGTTTGTGATCCCCGGGAGTCTGACTCCTGGGCGCTTTCTCTCCCCACCTCCCTCTCATAATTTTTTCTTTGTATTTTTGTTCATTAAATTAGTTAACTGCCTCCCACCTGTTCCTACTGACAGTAGTGACACCTACTAGGGAAGTTTAGGTACCCTGGAAATGTGGCAGGCGCCCTTAAAATGCAAAATACCCAGGGCTGCCTAGGTCCTGCCTCCCCCCCTCGCTGGGACGGCG